CTTCGACCTGAAGGTTATTTATGCGATTTAGAATTTGTAAAACTTTTTTAAATTATATACATCATATACAAAATGCTTTAGGAATTAAAGTAATCTTAACTCATTTAGTATCGATTACGAATTAATATCACATAATTTATTATACTTGCTAATAATATTAATCTTATATCGGTTTTTAAATATTTTATTTTTTTCACTCTTTTAGATTTTTTTATTTTTTTATGTATCTGTATCCGTTTATGTATCTACTCAAAATCTGAGCAATAATACTTTTCTAATCAATTTAAAAGTTATTTAACTTTTATATTTACAATGATGCTTACAAAATCGCATATTATTCTTACAGAAAATCGCGGTAATTACTAATTTGATGAAAAAGAAATACAAAATAAACCAAATTTTTCACACATATTAACGAAATTCTAATGGATATAAATTTACTATGATTAAGTATTATAAAAATTTGTAAAAGTATCAGTATGTTAAGACAGGAATTAGATGGCGTACAGTCATGAGGCAGAAGGCACAAAAGAAAAGCTGCTGATCAACAAGAGAAAAAGACAGAGGTAGATAAATAGAGAGAAAAAGGAAGAGAAAGAGAGGGAGAATGTAAAAGAGTGGAAAGGAGGAAGAGAATGAGGAAGGAGAGAAAGTGAGAGAGAGAGAGAAGTTTGCAGCTGTATGCGACAGCTGCACGCTTCCCAATATTATTCCCCGAACAGTGTTCCGTCTTATCCTTCCTCTGCATATGCTCAATCCCTCCCATCAGGTTGCCAGGTGTTCCTTATATCGTCAGCACGCTTCGAAAAATCCTCTTTTGTTCCCTCAACAGTGTTCATCTGGAATATAGAACATGCACGGACTCGACGAAATCTCTACTTTTTTGAAAAGAAAATTTATTCGATTGCATTGGAAATATTCGCGCACATAACAACTTTATATTTCACTTTCAATTTATGCAATTGAGAGCAGATGCACGCAGCACAAACAAATGAATCGATAAATGATCGATTAAGTAATTGCTAAATAAATCCTAAAAATAATTTCATTACATATTTAAAATTGAAGTGAACATACAACAAGAATTGAATATATACTTCTCCTCTCTATATATTATTATATAATTACTAATTCAAATAATTCATTTCTATATTTATATTTTTTTTATAAAAAACTGTTTACAAAAATCTAAAAGTTTAATTAATTTTTAAAATTTTATACGAGAGATTTATGAAACTCATTATACAGTCATTTTTTTCACTAAATAAAATATAACCTCTATCTTATCCTCTACCTCTCTCTCTAATTTTTCTATATAAAAAAGACATGCTTTTTGTTTGTGTGTTTTTCGACAACAGAGTAAAATGCTTTACACATATATGGATAATTAATTAAAAGTGCTGAAACTGAATTGCTGCAATAACAAAAATTTACAATATCATTATTTGTATGTCATTTTTATTATATACAATTGTTCTACATTTTTAATGTTATGTATCTCTTCATTCAATTAATTAAATATCAAAATCAAATACATCTACGATTTTATAATTATTTACAACTTATAATTTATCATAATTTTATAATATCACTCTTTTTTGCGTTATAATTTATAATAACTTATATAATTTGCCTCATGTGCATAAAAAGTTTATGTAAAAACGTCATGTAAACAATACATAAATAATTCATGCAGATATTATTTTGAAATTTTTATTGCATAATTCTGATTTAAGTGTATGTAAAAATTTTAATTTTTTCTAGCTCAAATTTTTATTTAAAATTCATTAAACAATTTTTTATTTAAAATTCAAGTAAATTCTTGTTGTTTTACACTTTTGTAATTATACTTCTGAAAGGTGGGCATTGAAATTTATGAAATATTATATTGAATTACTCAGCAAACACAGAATATTGCAGCAATATTGCGGCAATATTACAACATTGCAGCAATGTTGCGGCAATGTAGCTGTAATATTTTGGTTTGCTGGGTAATAATAATCATAATCTTACAAAACAATAACAAATATAATAAGTTACGAAAAGCTATATATTCAATATTGCACGAGTTCCAACAAAGGATACTGCTTATGCGATTCAATTTGTTTTAATAAAGAAATTAAAAATTGGCAAGTAAAAGCTAAGGCGCGATAATTAGAAGAGAGAGAAGAAAACCTTTTTCTTTTAGTTATTAATCTTTTTTTCTTTTAGTTATTAATATATTTCAAAATACTTGTTATAATTCTTACAATGTTTATTTGCAATTTATAATTTTTAATTTTGTAGTTATTATTATTTAAGTTAATTTATTATTTATTATTATTTTTAAGTTTTTTATTTTAATTTTCAATTTGCTATGTTCTTGATGAAGAAAGTGTCTCACAATATTTGTAATTATTTCCATATTTTAAAATCGATAATTTTAATATCAATCCGATCAATACGCTCTAGAACATTGCGAAAATCTGGAACATTATGAAGACCGATAATTTGCAAGCATTATTGAATAAAAATCTATAAAATAATTATTTATTGCCACGCTCTATAATTTTCAAATGAATTTTAGTTTAGTTGATGAAATAGAACAAAAATATTATTTACTGAATAAAGAAGATTATTTTGTTGCAACATATATTAGAATATATATTATATTATTCGGTAAATTTTTATATTAGGATCTTCACCTCCGATTTGGTTTAAAATTTGCATAATGTTGTCTCTAATTCTCATTGATTCATTGATTCTATTATTTTGCATTTAAATATTATATTAGAAAACAGATTGATGATGATCTAGTAATTATTATTACATTATGTAGTATTACATTATGTAGTATTACATTATGTATATTTAAAAAGTATAGGGCTCTGTCTCTCGCTATATATTCTCTGCCCGAAAACTTAACTTAATCTTATCTTAACCTAATCTTATCTTTATTTATTTATTTTAGTTTTGTAAATATTTTAGTGATGTATTATGTATGTTATACATAGATATACAGAAAACTATAGAAGACAGAACATTTTAAGTTGAATTTGATTAAGTATTTTGCAAAAAGAAGGGCTTCATCCTTTCCTAGCCCGCTTGTTTATTTAAAATTTTCATTATATATATATATATATATATATATATATGTCATGTAAAGGAAATCACGTAAATGCAAAAACCAAGTCTTTTCGTGGCGTATTTAAGATATATTTTTGCCGTAACATAAAAATATAATAAAGTTAGTTGAAAAAAATTAGTTTTTTCGTAAAAAGACATTTTATATATTTTTATTATAAAATGCTACTTGATGTTTTTCCCCAGGACGACGTATTGTTTCTCAGACTTTAAAATATCATAATTGTATGTAGAATCACAGCAAACTCTATGCTATCTAAATTTTCAATCAAATCATAATTGATCCTAATATAGAAATTTACTTGTTTTTCTCACAAGAAACCATCTTTAAGTTAGGCTGATAAGATTTTTCTTATCCGACTTTGTGCCTTTGGATTATTATTTATTCTCATCGATGCAGAACTATAATTTAAAGCTATAATTAAGCTATAATTTAAAATCAATAAAAGATTAAATAATCAAAAGTATTATACTTGTATTAGAAAATTTAAAATCTTTATATATTTCAACGAACAATTTCAGGTCAATAAAAGATTAAACTAAAAATAGAAGATCAAAAATATTAAAAATATTACTGTAACTAATTGCGACAACATTTATTATGGTTCAAAGCTGAAATGATTCAATAGCAGCGACAATGAATATTCATAAGTCGTTTTTGCGATTATTGAAATATATTAAGATTTGAAATAATATAAAACTGTAACCAGTCACCGGCCAAAAGAACTGATTTGAAAGATTCTATAATCGATCATCGGTGAGAGGAAGGTCGAGGAAGGCCGTAGCTGGTTAGATCCAGTCTGCGTACAGTTGAATGCACGGGCATACCGCGATATATAGTTCTCGCAATGTCATTATTCCCCTTCTCCACATTAGTCTACAAATTTACAAATACAATTGTTTCTCTTTTCTTGATTGGATTGTCGATAAGTTCTTTGCTTCCCAAAAAGATAGTGATTTCGAGAGACAAAATCAAGTTTGTCGTGCAATTTTTTCGCAAATGCTATTGAAATAAATACTGATTAATTTCTTGACCAATATATCATAGAATCACACATCATAAAAATCATTCAAACATTAATAAAAATTTCGATTTAATCTTCAGCTTTGTAATAAAGTTTAAAACACTCTTCTTCTTGTAAATCATGAGATTTTAATAAGCATGTTTTGCAGTGTCCAAATTGCTTGTCTAGATTACTTTCCTTAAAGAAATTATTTTTTATTTTATACATATTTTTTCATTAATGATTTGTTTTTTTTTAGCTTTTCGACAGTATTCTCCTCTCAATTATCTTGTTCTCTGATATTTTTTTTAATCCTATTTATCCTTGCAAAGATAAAAGTAAAGATTAGTTTTACTAATATCTTAATCTTAACTTTATTTCTTTGCACTTCTAATTCTAAAGAGAAACAAATTAGCCATAAAATAAATTAAAAATAAATTACATTGAATAAATTGAATTAAATTATAAAATTTATATTAATTAATATTAACATAACTAATATATATCTTCAAATCATATTAAATTTTAATTTACAAAATATATTGTTTGTTCATAATCAATTTTGTCATTTGATATTCTATTTCTTTTCGTAAAAAATTTTATAGAATGGAATACAACAACTGAGATATAATAAGTGAAAAACGCAAAATTACATTTGCGTCACATTATACACCATCTTTATTTCACGAGTTTCTCCTGTTAGTTCCAATGGCTCTTCTGGTTCGCGACCGATTCTTTTCTCTTTTTCTCCTTCTTCACCGCCTCTTCCTTTTCCTCCACCATCTGTATAACCACCACCACTGTCGTCATCGTTTCCATCGACACCATGACTCTCGGTCCAGAGGTACTGCAGAATTAGTCGTAGCCTGCATGTCAAAGAGCACTGTCTTACGTATTATCGAATTCTCGAGAAATATTTCTGATTTAAGGTTGTCGGTTTGTCAGATCCTTACTGATCGAATGCAATATAATTCCACAGTTACTTTGACAATTATTATGTGAATTTGATTTGAGTTATAAGAGTGTGCTCAAAACGGTTTCCAAAAAAGTTACAGAACTTTTTTTAAAAAACGCAAAAAAGATTATTTAAGTTTATAAACACGCAAATAAGAAAAAAGAACATAGTAACAAATCTGCTTCTTGTGATTCATAATTCATGAATAGTGAATAATACCAACGAAACATTACGTCTTTTTGCAAGTGATTATTAGTGTATTTAACTTTAAAGATGGTGCGTGGTTTATCACAGTGGACCAAGACACTGAGTTTCCCAGCGAGAGTGTCACCTCAAAGACCTGTAAAAGAATCCAAGAGTTTCCACGTAAGTCCCAGTGCTAGTCCCACGTCACCGCCCAGTCCAATCAACGACACGATGGATAAAGCACCTATAATTACTGACGAGGTTAGATACATATATTTTTCTGTTTTTGTCTCGCATTTTTATTTTTCTCGACTCTTAATTTAACCTTTTAATGCAAAACTAATTTTAACGCAAACTATTTTTAACGCAATAATATATAATTCATATTTTTTTCCTTACAAAGTATTCGAGCATTTCGATAACGGAGGCAAATCTCTTGTGGAGGCATGTAGAATAAATAAAAATAATCTTAACAATTTTTATAAAATTATAAGTTTCTATAAAATTTTTTTCTACAATGCATCTATTATTATCATCATTTTATTATTTACTTTCTATCTATTAAATGTTTTTTTGTTTTTGAAAACAGTTAATTTTGACGAAGTGAAACAAGAGAATACTTTTTTCCTAGAAAAAGATATGGCACGGGAATTAAAAACATATTTAAAAATATATATAAAAGAAATCTATCGGTTTCAGAGTTTTGTAAGTTAGAAAGCTTAGAGGTGGTCTGCTCCTAATTCTCCAACATAGTAACAACAAGTCTATCACGCAATATTTTCAAAATCTTTATTTAATATACAAATAATTATTATAAATTATTAAAAACTATAAATATTATTTAAGAAAAATGCTTCTTAAATTTTAACTTTAAAGACAAATATCTCGATGGATGTATTATGAAAAAAAATTTTATAGAAACTTATTTATTTTTCTTATTTATTCTTAGTTATTTTTATCTGTTTTATATGAAAAGAGATTACCCATCTTTTTATTCTACATATAATTTGAAATAACTGAATTATTTCTATACACAACACTGGACAATAGGGATATCATCATAATAACATGTAATGCTCATCCGTTATTCCGTTAGAATTCTGTTTTCCCTGATTACCATCCTAATACTAATAGTAAGGTGCGAATGAAAAAAAAAAGGAAATATTCAAAAATAGTAATAGAAAATGACTTTGATGTCAACATTTTCGACAAATATAAGTTTATTACGATCTCATTGAGAAAGACTGTTGATTCTGAGATATGTACGCAAGAATTCCACATACAAACGATTCGTCTCGATAGTCCTGCATTTCAATGTCGCTAGATGCTGCGCAAACTCGACAAGGCATAATCTTTCTTCATGTTCATATGATTCGTGGAATTTCGTGCTTGAGTATGCTCAATGCCGTCTCATTGGAATAAAATGCTAGCTATAAGACACAACGGCAGCAGCGGAAGCGTGGGAATCGAATGTAACAGATGGCCTCGACCGCTTCCGAAGTCATTCGAGTTCTTTTTTCTTGTGTAGCTCTTTTCTGATTCACATATATTCGCGCTATTATTTCGCCAATATAAAATCGGTAATTGATGCGAAATATTTAATCGTACAATGTATTTCATGATTTAGTTAACGTAATTTTTCAATTTTACATTATGAAAGAAACAAAAAAGAAGAAATTAAATTTTTAGTTAACTGATAGCAGCAAATATTAATACTTAATACACACACACACACACACACACACACACACACACACACACACACACACACACACACACACACATATACACACACACGCACACACACAGAGGTTTTTAAGGTTTGAATTTTTGCATTCCAATTCTTCTTTCTGTTAAAAATGAATAAATTTAATAAAATTTATAAAATTGAATTTAACAAAATTTAATAAATTAATTTTTTTACGCAGCAATTTTTTTCTTCTTTATTTTAAGATATTTATGATAAAATATGATGACAATAAAATATGATGACAAAAAGTAATTTAAACTACCCGTAGAGGGGGGGGGGAGCGGAACATGCAGTGTCCACACATGTACTTTGCAAAATGAAGGAAGTTACAAACACTTATTAAAAGTTTAGGTAAAATAAAAAGTTTAATTTTTATTTAGCAAAACTAAACAATAATTCTATAGCTTAGCGACATGGAAGGGACGAGCAAACGTAAACAAAAAATATAAACGCACAAGTAAAATATAAAATATGAAACCGTGATAAGCAAACAGAAAATAAACACATAAATAGAATATAATGAAAAGATGACATAAAAGTATGAAACTTCAAAAGTGCATATCTCAGAAACGAAAAGAGACCATCACAAAATTAAAACGTATTACTTAGGAATGTATCTTCTACAACATATGTGAAAAAAAATTTTTCGAGCTATGTAACCTAAAGTGAACATTTACAAAAATTCTTTTACATAACATTTTTATAGGATTATATTAATTTTTACATACCATTTTTATCGGATTGTATCAATTTTTTCACAGAAGTAGAAAATCTAACATAATTTGAAAATTGCATTCGGAAAGAATAACAGGCTTACACTACTCAAGTGCCGTTCGCCGATATTCTTGAAACTTTGTACACACATCGAAAAACATTGAACACGTGTTTTTTTATTTTAGCTAACAAGGCGTTTTAAGGTTAGAAAACGCATTCGAAAATTTAACACAGTTTAACCATTTAGCACAATGCTAACTAACGCTACTCATGAGTGTCATTCTCTTACAGCTTTTACGACATTTCTCTTTCATAATTTCATTGTCTGCGTGTTTTTGACATCGCTAATGACGATTTTGACATTAGTTTAACGAGATTCAGAATAGCAAATACAAAATGGTGGACAAAGGTGGCAAGATAATCACTATCTTGCCTTCACTGGTCGGGTAGTACCACTATCTTGCCTTCACTGGTCGGGTAGTATCACTATCTTGCCTTCACTGGTCGGGTAGTTCCACTATCTTGCCTTCACTGGTCGGATAGTACCACCATCTTGCCTTCACTGGTCGGGTAGTACCACTATCTTGCCTTCACTGGTCGGGTAGTACCACTATCTTGCCTTCACTGGTCGGATAGTACCACTATCTTGCCTTCACTGGTCGAGTAGTACCACTATCTTGCCTTCACTGATCGGGTAGTTCTACTATCTCGCCTTCACTGGTCGGGTAGTACCACTATCTTGCCTTCACTGGTCGAGTAGTACCACTATCTTGCCTTCACTGACCGGGTAGTTCTACTATCTTGCTTTCACTGGCTGGGTAGACCTTCCCATTGCCTTCAGTTTTCGCCATTTGGATGCGTCATATTGAATTTTTCATCCACCACCTTTAGATTGATATAATTGTTGCTAAAATCGTAATCATGTATCTAATAAACTTCGCAAGTGGCGTTAAATAAAGTTTTTGAAACTTCTGCGATTTTGTCCACCATTTTGTATTTGCCATTCTGAATCTCGTTAAACTAATGTCAAAATCGTCATTAGCAATCTCAAAAACATGCAGACAATGAAATTATGAAAGAGAATGTCGTAAAAGCTGTAAGAGAATGACACTCATGAATAGCGTTAGTTAGCATTGTGCTAAATGGTGTTAAACTTTCGAATGCGTTTTCTAACCTTAAAACGCCTTGTTAGCTAAAATAAAAAACACGTGTTTAATGTTTTTCGAGTGTGCAAAGTTTCAAGAATATCGGCGAGTGGCACTTGAATAGTGTTACTTGTTAGTAATATCGAAATTTTTGAGTGTTTTGTTAATTATTAATGATTATTTTTATTTCCTCTGTCAGTAGCAGGCTATGTATTAAATTAAATTAAAAGTTATAATTTTTAAAGTAGCCATTCTTTCTTGGAGAAAGTTACAAATTTCAAAAACTGTAGAGAGAAAGGAAAAGAGAGAGCGAGAAAGAGAGGCAGAAAGATATATATATATATATATATATATATATATATATATCCATTGAGAAATTCTACTCAAAGATTTTTTATTAAATCATAAGTAAGTTATTTTTTGCACTAACATATAAAAAATGAGTTATCATATAAGTTCATAGTAGAAAATAATTTAGTGAAGTTAAAGAAGAGAAGAAGAATATATCCCAAACATAAAATATTGCAACAACATTGCTGCATTGTTATAATATTGCCGCAACATTGCTACAATGTTATAATATTGCCGAAATATTGCTGCAATATTCTGTGTTTGCTGAAATATATTATATTTATTTTAGCCCACAATATAAAGATTCTCAAATCAATGATTCTCAATTCATATATCTGCTATACCAGAAATTATATACAAGATGAAGAAAAAGTATGGAAACTCTGAAAAATTTCGAAAAATATAAGTTTTACAAAAAAATTGTTTCGAATAAAAGTTGTAGAGTTGTTTAAATGATTTATTTACTGATCTTATCAGTTTGATTTTGGAAGATCAGAACAAGATCAAATTGAATTTTTTAAAATGAGAACCCTCATTTTTTATCCCTTACCTTCCAAAACATAAAGAAGTATTTTTCCATTAACTATTTTTTGAGTCATAAGACTTAAAATAATTTATTAATTTTTACATGAACTATAAAAAAAATCTTGTAAAATTATTTTTAATAAATCTTGTTAACTTATTTTTTTATTATCTTATCTCGATGTTTTTATGGATAGAATAATGAGAGGAATCAATTGATGTAAAGAAAACATATAGTTATTTTTGAGAAAAAATATGTTAACTGCAAATTACATTTTTTTAAACATATAAACTATATGTTTTTTCACACCAATTAATTCCTTTCGTTATTTTCTGCATAAAATTATTGAGATAAAATAAAAAAATAAATATTTTATGTAATATTTTGTAGTTTATATAAAATTAAAAAATCCTCATAATTCAAAAAGTACTTAATAAACAAGTACTATATTATAATGTCCCAAAAACGTTTCCACAAGAGGTATAAGAATGCAATAAAAAATTCAAGGTCACATTTAGAAAATTCAACTTGATCTTGTCTAGATCTTGACAACGACCAAAGTTAAACTGATAAAATAGATAATAGTAACTAATAAATAAATATTTTAAGGCTTGCAACTTTTATCCGAGAAACAATTTTCTACAAAACTTATATTTTTCAAAATTTTTCAGGATTTGCATATTTTTACTCACCCTGTATATACAATACTGGTAAAAAATATTGCATTGTTTCCAAAAAATACAAAAAAAACACAAGTAATTGATTAAATTTTTTATTT